GTCATATAACATCACAGAGGGATTTTTATTCATCTTACACTCCAGGTAACTTTGGTAATGTTAGGATGGGTAATAATGGACAATCAAAGATTGCAGGCATCGAAGATATTTGTTTGAAGTTTGACACTGGGATAGAGTTGGTTTTACATAATGTAAAACATGTTCCAGATATGAGACTTAATTTGATCTCCGCAGGCTTACTTGATGATGATGGTTACAGCAACAACTTTGGTAATGGAATATGGAAACTCACTCGTGGTTCTTTGATCGTGGCTAGAGGTAAAAGATGCTCAAAGTTGTACATGACACATCCGAAGATCTTCAAGGATAGAGTCAATGCTGTGGTGAATACTGACATGACTGATTTATGGCATAAGAGACTTGGTCACATGAGTGAAAAGGGGATGTCTTTTTTGTTGAAGAGAAATGTGTTACCGGGTGTGCATGATATTCATTTAAAGAAGTGTTCGCACTGTTTGGCAGGTAAACAGAACATGGTTTCCTTTAAGAGCCATCCTCCTTCCAGGAAGGAGAGTATACTTGATCTGGTGCATTCTGATGTTTGTGGTCCTATGAAGACTAGGACACTTGGTGGTTGCTCCTACTTTGTCACATTCATTGATGATCACTCCAGAAAGGTTTGGGTTTATACCTTGAAATCTAAAGATCAAGTATTTGAGGTGTTTAAGCAGTTTCATGCCTCGGTTGAGAGACAGACTGGAAAGAAGCTCAAGTGTATTCGGACAGATAATGGAGGGGAATACATTGGCCCCTTTGATGCTTATTGTAGAGACCATGGTATTCGACATCAAAAGAGTCCTCCCAAGACACCGCAATTGAACGGATTAGCAGAGCGGATGAACAGAACTTTGATGGAGCGTGTCAGATGTTTGTTGTCACACGCAGGGCTGCCAAATTCATTCTGGGGAGAAGCTTTGAATACAGTGGTACATGTTATTAATCTAACTCCTTGTGTTCCTTTGTCTTTTGATGTGCCTGACAGGGTTTGGAGTGGCAAAAATGTTTCTTACCGTCATTTGAGGGTCTTTGGATGCAAAGCTTTTGTGCACATTCCTAAAGATGAAAGATCAAAGCTTGATGTGAAGTCCAAACCATGTGTTTTCTTGGGTTATGGCCAAGATGAGTTTGGTTACAGATTATATGATCCAGTCCACAAGAAACTTATTCGAAGCCGAGATATTGTGTTTGTGGAAGATCAAACCTTGAAAGATGCTGAGAAGAAAGATACAGTTCCTCAACATAATGATGATGTTACTGATTTGGATCCAGTGCCTCCTCAGCATGTAGAACCACTTCTTGATAATGATGTTCAGAATGATGAACAACATGATACTGATGTTCCAGAACAGCCAGAGGTGGATGAAGAATTTCATTCAGAGATACAAGTACCAGACGTGCCACCATTTGTCCCACTTAGACGGTCTACAAGAGATCGTCATCCTTCCACCCGTTTTTCAGCTAATGAGTATGTCTTACTCACTGATGGGGGAGAGCCTGAGTGTTATGCAGAGGCCATGGAAGATGAGCACAAAAGGGAGTGGGTTGAAGCCATGCAAGATGAGATGAATTCCTTACATGAAAATAATACATTTGAGTTGGTGAAGTTGCCTAAAGGCAAGAGAGCTTTGAAGAACAAGTGGGTCTACAAAGTGAAGACTGAAGAGCACACCTCACAACCTAGGTACAAGGATAGATTGGTGGTCAAAGGGTTCAGTCAGAGAAAGGGTATTGATTTTGATGAGATTTTCTCTCCGGTCGTGAAGATGGGATCTATTCGTGTTGTTCTGGGTTTGGCAGCCAGCCTTGATCTTGAGGTTGAACAGATGGATGTCAAAACAACTTTCCTTCACGGTGACTTGGATAAAGAAATCTACATGGAGCAACCTGAAGGGTTTCAGGTTAAGGGAAAAGAAGGTTATGTGTGTAGACTTCAAAAGAGTCTTTATGGGTTGAAGCAAGCACCAAGACAGTGGTACAAGAAGTTTGAGTCAGTTATGGGGGAGCAAAATTACCGAAAGACTACTTCAGACCATTGTGTTTTCTTCCAGAGGTTTGGTGATGATGATTTCATCATTTTATTGTTATATGTTGATGACATGTTAATTGTTGGCAAGAATGCAGAAAGAATTACTCAGCTGAAGATGCAATTGAGCAAGTCTTTTGCTATGAAAGACTTGGGGCCAGCAAAACAGATTCTTGGCATTCGGATCACTCGAGATAGAGCTTTGAAGAAGCTACACATGTCACAGGAGCAATACATTGAGAAGGTGCTTCGCAGATTCAACATGGACAAAGCTAAAGAGGTTAGTTCACCTCTTACTACCAACTTCAGGTTAACTGATAAAGATTGTCCATCTTCTGAGAAGAAGATTGAAGAGATGGATAGAGTTCCTTATGCCTCAGCTGTAGGGAGCTTGATGTATGCTATGGTGTGCACACGACCTGATATTGCTCATGCAGTAGGTGTTGTTAGTCATTTTCTGTCAAATCCAGGTAAGAAGCATTGGGAAGCAGTGAAGTGGATTCTCAGATATCTACGTGGTACTTCCAAATTGGGTATAACATTTGGAAATGGGAAGCCAGTACTTGTTGGTTATACTGATTCTGATATGGCAGGAAATAAGGACAACATGAAATCCACTTCTGGATATTTGATGACTTTTGCAGGGGGAGCTGTGTCATGGCAATCGAGACTGCAAAAGTGTGTGGTTCTATCCACCACCGAGGCTGAGTATGTGGCTGCAACAGAAGCGTGTAAGGAGCTATTATGGCTCAAAAGATTTATGCAAGAGATTGGCTTTATGCAACAGCGCTACGTGGTTCTTTGTGATAATCAAAGTACCATTCACCTTGCCAAAAATTCTATGTTTCACAAACGAACCAAACATATTGATGTGAGATATCATTGGATTAGAGATGCACTTGAAGACAAACTGTTTGAACTTGATAAAGTTCATACCGATGATAATGGTGCCGATATGTTGACGAAGGTTCTAGCAAGGGAAAAGTTGAAGGTATGTTGCTCCATCGCCGGTATGGCGAACTCTTCCTCATAAGTCAAAAAGGGGGAGATTTGTTGGGTTTTTCCTTTGTTTTTGACCCATGAGGAAAGCTCAAGTATTGAGCCCATTAAAAGTCTCTTTTGACTTTGTGTGTTTGGGAGCTAATAATCAAAAATATGGGTCAGCCACTAACACACATTCGATGGACAGAAAGAGAGCAGCAGAAAAAGAGAGCATAAGTCGAAAACATGAGCTGAGTGTGCTCATCCCGTTTTTCCAGCAGGCAGCAGCAGAAAACTTCCGTTTCCCGGAGATTGAACCGTTGGATCGTCGTGATTTTTGGACAGCAGCTTCACAGCATCTGGTCCAACATTCTGGACAGTGGAGATCGGGTTTTGAGGTCCGGAGGTCAGGTTTCGTTGGTCTGGACAGTAGCTATTTTTTCTGGTGATATTTTTCTTATCTTGGCTCTATTTGATTCCATACACCTTGATGTGCTTACTTCCAAGGATATGATGATTTTGTATGCCTCTAGTATTATCTAGAGAAGACTTTGTACTGCTCCTTTGATGATGATAGTGGATTTAAGAGGCCAACATGGTCCCGTGGTTTTTCCCTAGTTAACGGGTTTTCCACGCTAAAATTCCGGTGTTTTTGTGTGGGGTGTGCTTACTCTTTTAGTTGATTATATTGGTGTGTGGCAGCAATATTGTGTGTGTTCTAATTGCATTAAGAACACTCTATTTGTTTGCATCCTCAAAGGTTCATTCAAGTTGGGGAAATTTTAGCCAAACGGAGATTAATTCCGCATTTTATTAGTTACCGTTTGGGGCTGTTTTTCCCATCACCAACCCCTTACAATGAAATAAATGCTGCTATTTATACTACCAATGGGCAGCTGGCTATGCTGACGTGGAGGACTGTGAGTGGCTGGTGCTCCAACCACCAAATTTTCAGCATTAAATGCGCTTCCCGCCAGGATCTGGGTTTCCCGCCTAATTAGTGGGGACGTTCGTCCTGTTAGGGGAGGTGGACTGCTCCTGGTAATATCGTAAAGGGTATCGGGCCGTTCGTATCCTGGCCCTTAGATGATTGTCGCATGGATTGGGCTGGCTCCCAATGTTACGTTTTCTGGAAGCGACGTTCGTCACCGATGCGATTGTCTGGAGGTTTGATCCTGAGACGTTTGTTGTCACTACGCTGGTTGTGGGCCTGATCCACTATTGTATGCATGGACGCTCGTCGGGAGGGGTCGGTAAGCCTAGGTCTTGGACCTGGCGTTCGTCTGTGCCATGTTTGCCCGTTAGCTTGATCCGCCTAATGATCTGTCTGGACGTTCGTCCGACCGATGGCGTAAATGGGCCGGCCTTCTGCTTGGGCCATTAACCCAACAATTTCTTTGTTTGTTAAAAAATATCATTATTTAAGAGAAACTAATGTTTAATTTTGCTTATGAGAAAAATTACACTAAAACATCGTCATCTTCCAAAATCAGACTGCATATTTTATTTTCTTTAAATAGAACTAAGCATTACATTTATACTCTTAATATAATTTGCGACACTTCGACAGCGGCAGCGACAAGCTGAAGGGGAGAGCGGCGGAGTAGTTGACTGTGTCAATTGAAAGTTAGCCGTGATAGGGGAAACATTTATTTTGTTTGGAAGCTATAGAGAATTAAATTAGAACCGCTTATGTTATACTTTGTGTATAGGATTTAAATAGTTGAACACTTGAACTTGTATTCATTTTAAAATGACTTAAAATTATGATTTATTTTGTTATTTTTTAAAAATCTCCAATTTGGTTAAACTTGGGAATCAAAGGATTTCTAAGGAGAATCACGCCAAGGAACACACTAGCGTGATGAATGACTAAAAATGTGAAATACATTCATTTAAAATATTTAGAAAATTCGGACCATTCTTCAAGCTAATCTACTTCTATAAATACGTGTGAGCATGATACTATTATAGTAACATCGTGATCGATCATTATGATAATGGAAAGTGGAAAGCAATTGGATAGTAGTTGCTGTGGTCGACCATTAAAAGTATTGCTGTTTCCATGGATAGCCTACGGTCATATAACCCCATACCTAGAACTCGCCAAACACCTCTCCTGCAAAAACTTCAAAATCTACTTCTACTCCACCCCCATCATCCTCAACACCATTAAACTAAACAACCCCATCCTTGCCGACAACATCACACTCCTCGAACTCAAATTGTCCTCCCACGGCGGCGACCTCCCCCCTCACCGCCATACCACAACCGGTCTCCCCCACCATCTCGTCCCAACGCTCTTCCAATCCTTCGCCGCCTCCGCTTCCACCTTCGCCTCCGTCCTCGACTCTTGCTCCCCTGACCTCGTCATCTACGACGGTTTCCAGCCGTGGGTCCCCGTGGACGCCGCGTCACGCAACATCCCCTCCGTCTTCTTCCTCATCATCGGATCATCAGCGTATTCCTACTTCTACCACACTGTGTACGCCTACAAGGAAGACACTTCGACACCGTTCCCTTTCCCGGCGATCTATGCGACGGAGCACGAGACGAAGAGCCTCAAGTTTCCATGGGAGCCCGGGTTCATCTTCAAAGGGGCCAACAAGTCTTGCGAGATCATTTTAGTTAACAGCTCTGAGGAGATCGATGGGAAGTACATTAGGTACTTTTAAACCTCGTGTTTTCATCCTAAAAGCAACTTGATTAGAAGAGTAACATGTGTATGTACTTGTGTGTCCATCCTAAAAACAACTTGATTGGAACAATAATATAAGTACGTGTTTTAGTTTAAAAGTCAACATGATAGAAGGAGTTGTTACTTGTTACCGATAAGTTAGGAGGAGTTTAGTATTTTACACTGAGTATGTTAAATTAGTTTGAATCTTAACACTTGACTAATGTGGGATAACTTAATATAGGTACCTTTCTGAGCTCTGCAAAAAGAAGATGGTTACGGTGGGGCCGTTGATCAATGTGGATGAGGGGAAGGATGATGTCATGATCATGAAATGGCTAAACAAGAAGGAGGGAAGGTCATGTTTGTACGTGTCTTTCGGGAGTGAGTACTACATGGGAAAAGAAGATTTGGAGGAAATGGCATATGGGCTTGAACTGAGTGGGGTGAACTTCATTTGGGTGATTAGGTTTCCTGAGGGAGGTGATGATAAAACATTGAGCTTGGATGAGGCATTGCCTTCAGGGTTTCTTGACAGGGTGAAGAAGAGAGGGTTGATAGTCAAAAAGTGGGCCCCGCAAGCCTGGATTCTGAGGCACAAGAATATCGGAGGGTTTTTGAGTCACTGCGGATGGAACTCGGTTCTCGAGAGTGTGCAGTTTGAGGTTCCCATTTTGGCATTGCCTATGCATCTTGACCAGCCTGCCCATGCAAGAATGGCAGTTGAGCTCGGCATTGCCTTGGAGATTGAGAGGGATGAGAATGGGAAGGTGCAACGAGAGGTTGTGGTCAAGACCATCAAAGCGTTTTTTGGGGAAAAAAAATGTGAGGAATTGAGGGCGAAAATCAAACAAGTGAATCACGCAATAAAGATGAGGGGTAACAAACAAATTGATAGTGCCGTGGAAGAGCTCACTAACCTATGCCTTAACTATCATCACAAGAAGCTTGTGGTGACCTGAATTAATTATTTAACTTATGGGCATGATATGCACCATCATTTACTTACCCCATACGTACTATATTCCGAATTAACGAATATGTAGTAATTGATTATGGCCTAAATTAAATCCTCAAGTCATTTGTACGACTTTTTTGTTTGAACTTCTTAATTGATGTGTTTTTACGGGTATTTTTAATTTGATTGAACATAGTTAGGTTTAAGTGAAAGTAGTCTATATTTACTTAAAAATCATTCAATGGTTTCTAAAACTTTTTTTCAGGCATAAAGCTCCCCACAATAATCAAGAGTTAGGATACAAATATTACTAAAAATTAATTAATGAACAAAAAAGAGACATTTTTATGTTTCCAAAAACGAGACTAAAAATGATTAAGAGGACCATTGCACCCCGAGTCGATCAATCACTATAGTCTCTAACGTTACAATGACCAAAGTCTCAATGACTAATGCATCAGTTACAACCTAATGCCCCATTGACCAATTGACAGTGACCACCGTCGGATCACAATGATCACCATTGTCAAGAGTGACCACTCTCGGGCAATGACAATCACCCTAATTACCACCACCCCAATAAGGCCCAATTACCAATGCCAAGTGACCACCACCAACCAGTGACTATTGTCACCGCCAGTGACACTAGTGATCAACACCTCTAGTGATCGCCAATTTTGCCTTGACAGTGTCCGTCGCTGCCCTTGCAGTCACCATCATTGTCAGGTCATTACTCTCCACCATATGCATAGCCCCGTTCACCCCCACTGCCCCAGCCCCCATCCTCCCAAGCCGCCCCCTTCCAACTGCTGCCCAGCTCACGCCCACAACCCTAGCCCCATCTGACTTTAAACTCACCGCTGCACCACCACATTTGGCAAGAACACACAAGGAAACAATCCCCCATGGTCGAAAAAAATGACCTTGCAAGATCCTAAATCGGTGAAGAACAAATTGAACCCCGTCATCGGGAGTGTATACCGTAGCTGATTGGCCGGGCACTACCCAAGTGTCGTATGAGTTTGTTGATCGTAGGTTCAGGTTCATATACTGCATGAAAGAAATATATATTTTTTGTTTCTCTCCAGCTGATCATTATTTCTGTTTTAATTTTTTATAAGCCAAAGCTGAACTAATAAGTTGATCAATTTTTTAGCATACAAACACCTCCCAATCAAATGAATAATTACCAATAAAATCAAAGAGACACAACCCACAACTAGGAAACCCAACCCTGTGCTACTACGATTTATTGACAAAGAGTTGGATGGTATTATTACTAGTAAACGTAAATGACATGTTACTTTGATAATGGTAAGACACCTACCATTGTTCCGGCGGACCCGCCACAAACGGATGACTATGGAGTCCGTGATTGGTCCAAATCAAACTCTGGGACTAAGGCATACAACCATCAGGGGTACAGGATAACCGAGGTGAATAGGTGATGGTTGAACCCAAGTGGTAAGCAACTATGACTTTAAGGCAGACGGATGAGTAGCCAGATTAAGAAGGGTGTAATGATATCCAAAATAGGTTAATGTAAAATACAGGCTTCTTCTAAATCTGGGCGGGCCGGGACCTAGTAACCCCCCCACTACTCCTATGAGTTATATACAGCCAACTGTCTGAAGGAAAATAAAGAGCATAACATAATATTACAGCTCAACACTATGCTAAAAAGAGAACCAATGACACAGTGTTCTCTGAATTTACATGATGATCAACACAAATGCTAGTGTGTCGTCCTGTAAACTCTAGTATACCAAATAGAATGAAGTATCATATGAAAGATGTCATACTTCTCAGAACTAGAATGCCACAGGAAATGCCTTTGCACACGCTTAACTCTCTCATGCATCTTCAAATAGCTCTTTTCCGGAATTGATTCAAGTATGTTCTTGAGATTCGGAATATCCTTCTCCAGCACGAAAACCGCAAAGGATTCCCAGTTTAATGTCTCAAGAAATGGAACAACAAAATTGTCTGATATGATGACAGGAACACACTCATAGGAAATTGCCTCCACGACCCTAGGGCTGTTAACCTCGTACCCTCTAGCGCAAATGCAGTATTTGCTATTCTTCATGTGCTTCATGTACTCTTTCTTGTTCACCCGACCAAAGATCTTCATGTCGGGATCTTTGTTTTCCCAGTATTTCAGAAGAATGGGGCGGACGTAGCCGTGCATTTTTCCTGCGAAGAAAGCGAGAAAAGTTCGCTTGGAAGGCGGTTTCCCCCCGACATTTCTCATCGGGTCCTGATACAAATGCATGTACGTTTCAGGGAGAGTAACATCCTTCCCCAACTGAAAGTCTTCTCGAAGATCAGCATTGCAGAGAGATCTTATACAGTTAGCCATATGCCACCTCGTCTCCTCAGCAGCCTGAGGAAAGAATTAAGAATGTGAGTTAATGCAGAATCAGTAACCAGTAGTCAATGTCCATGTGGTTTACTGACATCTTTGCGAGAGCTAATCAGCTGCTTGTCCATACAGACAAACAATATGAGGGTATCTTTTTATGTCCATATTAAATTAGGTTTAGCTCATCTTAAACATCCTTAAGAAGTAAGTAAATTCTCAACCTATTTATTAGTTTTGGATCTTATAAACATGCAGGTAGGGCATTTAATAGATCAAGTTGACATATATTTGTAAGAAGAATATTTGTCAATAGGTAACAAGACAGATTTGTTCAGGGTATAGTACTCACCTATATACTTGATCTTGTTTTTGGATCTAATCACAAGTTTTTATGTTGTATCAAAGCGTATGGAGCTCAAACAAGAAAACTTTGTCCTAATAAATTTAAAAAACAAAGGCATATATTTAAAAAGTGATCTGATCCAATGAGCTGCTTAGCCATTTGACACATGGGTGACCAAAATTCCAAATGGGGTTCGGTTAAGGGTTGCAGACTTGCAGACAGTGGCACCCTTGTACCCCAAGCCCTCAAGTCATCTAATCTCAGCTAGTATGTTTCAGAAGGGACATGAGCCAGAGAAGTAGCAAAGTGGCCCCACTCAACTTGATCCAGAACATAAAAACATGTCATTGAATGTTCAGTTTCCCACTTTAACGAAATAGCAAAACAAATAACTACAAAACTAACGTAAACCAATGTAAACAAACATACCCAGTCATGGCAAGCGACAAGAAAATGGTCTGCTCCACATGTTCTGTTCCAGAAAGGGTGTTTGCCTCTGATCAAGTGGACATAGCTATTAAGATATTCGATTATGTTGGTAAAGCTGTGAGAGTCTGGCACGTACAAGCTTCGTTCAAGGTTGTGAGAACTAAAAGGTAGGTAAAATAAGTGTGCTTTTCGGGGGTCTGTAGTTACAAAGTTTGTGTTGGCTATTAGTTGCTTCATGAACCAACCTTCAGAAGCATATATACCTCCCAGGTTAGGCTTATGAAATATTGGCCTTTCTCCCTCGCTGTAAATGTATACCTTCAGTGTCTGCTCCATTAACTCATAGCTTCTGTTTTTGATGAATAACAATAAAATAAATAAATACAAAACATTAAAATTCACAATCCACTTACACATTATATTTGACAGCTTAAGTTGGGTTATTTAACCACAAATTAATGCTCAGGCCTCACGTGCATGCTAACACAAAGTAGACCTATCATGTTCTTGGTATGAATGGTTTAATTTTGCTTTTGTTAATTAAAAACACATTTATAATTAATTCATTTATTCATAGGACTATAGGAGCAATGGAGTACTAATTGAGAAACATATTTTAATTTGTGCTCATTAACAAATGATTTGGATATGTGAAGCTTGGGAACCACCCGGTAATACTCATGAACAAGTTCCAATGTTACTATGTTCAATCAATAATAAAGAATTAAACACAAAATCAATAAATATATGAAAACACCCTTGTAGGAGTATATATTATTGTATTCGGAATACTACAAATTTAGTAGTTTCATGGTGCCAAACAAACAATCAAATCACAACTGAATTTGACTCTTATACAATATTAAAGGAGTTTTGCAACGGCTTAAAAAGTTATTTTCAGATTTTTTCTTTAAAAAGGCTAAAAATTAGTGTTTTCAAAGAGGTGTTTCTTCTTATAATTAAGCAGTTTAAAGCTGAAAGCAGTCAAATGAGTGCTTAAAAATGTTCATCACTTTTTCTATTACTAAAGAAATACTTGTGCAGCAATATTCCAACTCTTACTTTTTAAATTCACTTTCTTTCTAAACAACACCTACTCTTGTTATAAATCGTTTTTCATACTATATCTAAAATAAACCACTTCTCAAATGTAGAAGCAAATGCAATCAGTTTCATATGGATTCATCCTAAAGTGTTAATCTAATAGGATAGTGATATGAAGCAGAATCTGGGCTTGGAAGAAGAGGGGAAGAAGCCCCCGTGGGTTTACCGAAGGCGGGACAGGCTTGAGCCCACCCAGGGGCGGAGCTATGCCCAGGGGTAGGGGGGCCATTGCCCCTCCCAACATTTTAAGTTTTTTATATTAGTATTATTTATTAGTAAAACTTTTGTACTAGCAACTAGCAAGCAATCAACGTTTGAGTATCACGTTTTGGACTAAAAAGCTGCGAACAATGTTTATAGTGATAATCAAAACTCCAAAAGGATAACAACACATCAACACCTAATTTGGACAAATGAAATTGTAAGGAAAAATCTGTTTGTACCCACTATTGTACCCATTTTTGTACCCACCATGTCTGTGAGGAGTTTTCTTTTTGTCTGTGAATCCCGGTCATAGACAAAAATATGTCTATGAAGGCATGGTGGGTACAAAAGTGGGTACAATAGTGGGTACAACAAGAAGAATCCATTGTAAGGAAAAATACAGTATGACTATAAAGAGTTCAATGAGTGTGTAAAATGTTATAAAATATTTCATTAAATTTTATCTTGTATAAATATTTTGACCATCAAGTTTTGTTAATTTTGGTATGATAGCAAAAACACTTTAATTATCTCCCAATTTCTTTATAGTTAATAAGAATATCCGCATTATCCCGGTGTGCCCACGCTAATTTAGAGGCGTATATATTTAATTATTTTATCACAAAAATATACTTCGTACTACGTATTACATAGTATTAGATGTAATTGCGTCAACGAAGTGTATACCTAAATAAATTCAAGGGCAGACATTATGGAAACTTTACGGTAAATAACACACCAATACTTCGCCCCCCCTTTCGTCACATCCTGGCTCCACCCCTAAGCCCACCTTCGTGGGCTGGTTGCGGGCTGTTTAATTAATATTTATTCTTTTTATTTTTCCTGATTTTTTTCCTTTTGGAGTTAATTAGGATTTCTAATATGTGTTTCCTATAAGGAGTTAATTAGGATTTCTATTATTTCTTTCCTATTTGAAGTTGATTAGGATCTTTATTATTCTGTTTCCTTGTTGGAGTTGATTAGGATCTCTAGGATTTTGTTTCCTAGTTTAAGAGTTAGTAGATGGGTATTTAAACCCCTTGTTAGGATTCATTCTGGATCATCTGGGAATAAAATTGGTTTTAGCCTTTTGGCTCTGGGCAACGGTTCACCCCGTTGATTTTATTTTTTTGCTTCACAACAGATAGTAGTAGGAAACTAGTTAAAGATGTTATATATTTGTTTACTTACTCTGTCAAAAATTGATAGTCGAATTGCGAATTATGAGGTTTAGCTGATGAAAAAATTAAGATCTAGCAAAGTTATACTTTGAATTAAAAAACTAGACACTAAATTGAAAGTGTATTGAATAGCAAAAGTTGAATTTGAATATGACAAAAATTTGATGCATAAAATTAGAGATTAAAAGTGAATTATGTTGACTAGTGAATAGTGAGTCTGTACTATCATTTTGAGACAAAGGTATTTGATATTTTAAATCTTACCGATGTAGTACAAATATTTCAACAATTGTACTTTGCACCCTATTCGCTCAAGGCCGGCTCGTTATTTCAATAAATCGTATGCATACCTTTTAAACTTAGACACATTCCAATAAAGAGGAGCATGGAGGTCATCACTGTCCTGAATACTATCTGCATTCTCAATTTGAAACTTAGCATTTAACAGCTGTTGATCAACAGCAGAAGGCCAAAGTGGTTCCTGTATAAACATTCAAAACCACTACAAACATAAAGCGGTGAAAGGCAACATATATATAGACACACGCGCACACATTCGCACACACAAACACACTGACACACACACATGTGCATCACACTCTAAAAGAATCTTATTAGAATAAGAAATCAGACATACAATTCGAAGGTATGAAGATTGATTATGAAACAACATATTTTTCATCTCCAAAAACGACACTGCTCCCATTGCTTTATGTTTCATGGCCATTTCCTTTACCATGGGATTCTCACAAGAAACACTTTGGTCACTCGGCAATGTGTGAGGGTTAAGTGCAATGGTCGCATTTCTGCTCACTATGGATTCTCTGGGACTAGGGGTAATAACTGCATGGTCAATTAATGATAAATCATCCAACAGTGAATGAATATAAAGATACAAAGCAAACTCATACCTATATATTCTACACATACGTGTAACATATCAATGTGAGACACCAGTAGCATGCTGCTCAACACAAACCCAGATGAACAAATTGATAGATGCATAAATGGGCATAATAACATCAAGAGCTATACCCAAACCATTGGTATCAAACAAACAACAATAGAAACAGTTATATTAAACATATATTTTCATAAACATCGGATGTGGAACATTTAAAGAAGTTTTTTGGATCAAATCTCAAATCTTAATAAAACTGAATCTAATGATACAGACCTACTGAAGTTGTGATTGCATCCCTAGCGGATTGAGACAAAGAAGCAGATGGTGAGGCCATGGGCCTTGATGCTACATAACCAGACACGAAACTCGTAGCAGGTTCGGGCGGTATACTCATCTCATTTGGTTTGATTTTCGATTTTAAAATGTCAGATCCATTTCCTAATGTGAACCCAATCTTGAAATCTTTGGTTTCCATATCTGAACTGAAACTAAGATTACCAATTTGGTGGGTTTCATTCCTTATCATTGAACCCCACCATGCAAACTTGCCAGGAGAAAAGAGACTTCCTGAAATGGTTCCATATGGAAATTTAAGATGCTGAACAATTATAACCAAACCAAACAGCCCTGCAACTAGCCATATGTGTTTCTTTCTTTCAGACTTCAACACTGACACATAGCAATCAAATTTCATCACCACCTGCAGAATTTAGTGAAGAGGTTATAATTTAGAAAGAAACAGTTTAACTACCCATTTTGACATGATAATAAAAGAAATCAAATCAAATTTTGGTCATATACAGGAAATCCTTAGGAGTGAAGAAGAAGATTTACCTGAATAAAGCTCTAAAAACTTTCACTGTTTTCTATTCTTTTAAAAAAGAAAAAAAAGTCGTATTAGAAAAAGTATTGAGGTGAGAACATGGGTTGTTGAATTCAACATAGAGTATTGGGGGCAGGGATGCGGTGCGGGCGGGTTTTCTGAGACTTGTGCTTACAAGTGTCATAGCTAACCCGCCATGTGGTTGGCCAACACCAGACCTGAATAACTGAATTTTATCTGTGTAGAAAAAAGGCAATAATAGTACAAATAATTATATAAATATAATCAAAATAAATATGATTTACACTAATATGATTCATTAATAGAGTAGTAATGAAATTATAGTAACCAGTGTTTTACCCGGGCATTGCCCCGGGCGGAGGTCGTGAATGTTTGAATACTTTATAAAAAAATATTTTATAGAATATAAAAATAAGTAATCATTTTACTTCAAATAAACTTTTGTTGATTGTGAATAGTAATTTAATTAAAGAGAATATATTAAAAAATGACATTGTAATAATGTAACATTGCATGTACCAAACATCACATTGTTAGGTTTAAATTGGGAAATCTCTTTATAAACGACATTCACCGTCTTGGTTTATCTGTATAGTCATATATATATATATATATATATATATATGTGACTATATATATATATGACTTCTCAATCGAATTTTAGGGTGACATTTTGTGGACAAAATCTAAACCTCAAGAAAAACATGCTAAAAAAGATTTATAAAAAAACATCGAGAACATCCTCAAATCGCGGCGGCCAGACGACGGATCTTCTCCTCCGGAATTCCAGTGTTCACTCCTTCGTATTATATCTAAATACTATGAATTTAGGACTTAATTACAATTAATTTAATGAATATTCACTATTTGGACTCAATAATAATCAATTGAGTATTTACTAATTCACTATTGAGTAATTATTGAGTCCAACTTAATTGCAATTAATAACTATTCACTAATTGAACTCAATAGCAATTAATTGAAAATTTAATTTCAATTAGAAGGTTGTACTTTATTATTAAGTAAGTAGATTCATGTTCAAGTTTTGAACTTAAATTACCACAACATTAAGTTTTAGTAATGAATAGTCATATTTACGTAAATAAGTTTTATTTTAGTAATATTCTTAACAAAGGAAAATGAATGGAATGAGTGGTAAAGTATTTTAACTAGCATTCTTTCATATCATAAATTTCAGGATCATTACACCAGTCAAAGGAAAAACAAAATTGACACCAACTAAATTCCAACAACTACGACTGTAAACCCTATGGTCAGACTTAGAGACGGTCACCCCTGAAGGTAAAGTATGACAGTTGAAAATTGAAATGCCAATTTTTTTGCTATAAATGAAATGCCAAATCATTAAGTACGTCATAATACTAACGGCCTGTTTGGGTTGAGTGTTGAGGAGTGTTAGTAATGGAAGTGTTAGTAAGTGTTGATGCTAACACTTGTTTGGGAGAAAAATCCAGAGGTGTTAAGAAGTGTTAGTAATGGTTAGGAAGTGTTAATAATAACCTTCTCAACACCTCAATTGTCCATTTTTTTAACACCCCGATTTGGAGTGTTTTGAGGTGTTGGACAATTATTACCCTTCTCATTTACCCGAAAAACATAAAATGCTTCGACATTTCACTTCGAATGTCTTTCCCACGGGTCTGATGGTTTGTTTTTTCATCTCTTCTCTTTACTCGTTTCTTTTGCCTCAAGGTAAAATTATTAACACTTCCATTATTAACACTTCATTCATTTGACTCTCCCAAACAAGGTAAAATTATGTCTCACACTTACACTTCCCTTCCCTTCCGAGCCCTTACTAACACTTACTAACACTTCCATTACTAACACTTCCAAACACTCCATCCAAACAGGCCCTAAGTACTACATACTCGTATATTGTTTTCTCAAATCCATAGATTTTTTTATAAATTAATTAATTCTATTGATTTTTAAATCTTTCAAAAAGTTCATACACTTCCAAAAAGTTGAGGACTTTTAAATTCGAAACGTCACTATCGGGTAAGAATTTTTAATTGTCGCTACCGGTATGCCACCTTTGTCACCGGTGCTCGCCGTCATTTTCATCGGACCGATCCGGCTTTCAGCTAATAACAGGCGGAAATATTATACATTTAATCAATAATTTTAAAATTGGAACTATTCGGATGTTAAGCTTATGTTGACTTGAACAGAAAAGAATAAACTAAAATGAAATGTTCATAGGATAAGCGTTTGACTTCAGCCGACCTGTTTATTCCCATTTTAGCCTCGCGTATATATATATATATATATATATATATATATATATATATATATACATATATATATATAGATATATATATATATATATATGTATATATATATATACATATATATATATATATGTATATATATATATATGTATATATATATATATGTATATATATATATGTATATATATATATATATATATATATATATATATATATATATATATATATTCCTATTTTCCTCTTTTGTGATGTTCATACCTTCGATCCTTCATGGCTATCGAGAAGGGAAGCGGTCAAGCGGTGGAAAAATGACACATGGCGGAAGCAGTCAGTTCAAACAAAAATGTTATTTGTACCCATTTCGATATCCACTTTACACCCACTATCAATACCCAAAAAAATATCTCACTTATCTCTCCTCCTCCTCCCTCCCTTCTACGACACCTTTTCTCTTCTCACTTCCGCCTCCCTTCTTCAGTTCTTCTACGCCATTTCCTTTCAAAATCTTCCACTAAACCTAATCTGAGGAAAATAATAGGAGTTTCTTTGCCTTACTCTCACAATTTTAAATGTTGAGGTGATATTTTACTTATATTTTGATTTTGGTTTTAGGATTATACTTTTTCCCTTTTTCAGATTTTTTATGTATCTTGTTATGTTGAAAGCTAAGATTTTAGTGTGATGTTGAATGTATGATAATTTTGTTTCATTGTTATGGGTTGGTGCTGTTAATTCTTGAAATTTTAATCAAACTAATTATTTCTTTTTTACGCCCATGACATGTTTGTTTAAATGCTTCACTAATATTTTAATGAATGTTTCTTGAAGTTCCAATTATATAGTTGGTTTATATATATGTTGTTTGTCATCATGAAATTGCATATTCTATTCATGTGAATTTCTAAGATGAACTGTTTTTTGAATTATTATGTAAATTGAAATGTATATTTATAGTTCATAATTTATTTGAGGTAAAATGGTTAAATATGATGAAGGAGAAGGTTAGAACTTCTCACTCCGTGTGCTCATTTATTTTGTTTGTGCGTATAAAATATTTGTTTGTGTGTTCATTTATATGTTATGATGTTGATGTGATTTTTTTTTTGTAAAATGGGTAAAGTCCAGAATGAGTTAGTATTACCTTGAGCTTGAACCTATATGTATTATAATATTTGAAAGATATTAATGATTTATTTGCCTTTCTTCTTTACATGTTGTAGGGTATGTTCACATTTTTTCTCTAGTGTTGGGCTTTAAAAGATTTGAATGACTTAGTTGGAATGTATGGGTGGCCTAAAATTGCATTATCCGTGCTATTAAGATTGGCAGTCATATTAATTTCATATATCTGCTTGGCTTTTAATTTGATGTTTTATTCAAATGAGTTCATTCATTTCAGTTGTGTTCATTCATCAAAAGTGTTTATTCATTTAATAGAAAATTAATGTTTGTCATTGAATTTAATTGCTTTTAGCAGGTGCTTGAGAAACATGAAATTATATGCTTTTAACAGGTGTTTAACAGCATGACAGACTTGAGAGATCTTACTATGGAAAATATCTATAAGGAAGTTTGTGCTAAAAGTTACAACCATCAGAAAATGCTATAAAAAACGAGTGATCAACTGAAGATTTGAAAAGTGCTATAAAGACTTGCTTTGTTGGATGAATATACTATTTAGAAAGACCTCTGACTTGTTGGGAAATACAATGTCATAGCGTAAAAGTGTAGTATTTTGTAATTTATATAATTGGTGCTGTTTTAGAATCTTTTGTATAACAATCTCAGTGATTAATGAAAAGATTTATATTTTTTGTTATTTATCAATATTCATAGGCAATAGCCATTGAAATGGCTAATATATTTAAGTGGAATTGTCAATGAACTAGATATGAAGTGTCTGGTCACATACAATAGCCACTAGAGTGAGTTATAATATGATAAGTGAAAATGTTTGTGAACCAAATATGAATTGTCCAGTTACATGTCATAGTCACTTAAAAAAGCTAATAAGTTGAAAGGAATTGTATTTGAACCAAACATAAAGTGACTTCTCCTAATTGTCTATGTCAAGTAAAATTGTGAGAAATTGTCTGAGTTCATTTATATTGTATAGAAAACATTGTTGCGTATTCATTTTTTTGTGCATAGAAAATTATTGTCTGTGTGTTCGTTTATATTGTTTGTGCATAGAAAGTAATTGTCTATGTGTTCATTTATATAGTCTGTGTGTGATTTAAACATTTTATGTGTGTGTGTTTATTTTGTCCATGCGTAGAGAATAAATGTTTGCGCATTCATGTATATTGTCCGTGCGTTCATTTAAACATCTATTCGTTGATTTTGTCTGTGGGATGTGCATAAAATAATTATTTTTGTTTTTGTTTATATTATCTGTACCACACAACAAACTTACCTAAGATTAATAAATTTTTTTGTGAGCATCATACACATCCTATTTTTATGGGAACCACCCTCTCAATCTAAAAAGAATTAGACTACTTACACTCGGGTTAATACAAAAGATAAACTTTGAAAACACAAGCAACTCCAATTGCACTATCATTGTAAATACAATAACACTAATTTCACAATATAACTAATTACAAAAATTAATTGCACGACATTGCATTTATCCTCTTATCCCCTCTACAAGTTGAGATGAAGCAACCAACAATGATTTCTGCAACAAGAGAAATTCGAGAGTCAGGTGACCTACAATGAACATAAAATGCATTGGATGATATCAACACGAGTAATTCTAGTTTCAAACCATTCATAGATGCCAACATAGATTCAAGCTCAAGGTAATACTAACTCATTTTGTACTTTACCCATTTACAAAAAAGGATCACATCAACATCATAACACATAAATGAACACACAGATAAATATTTTATACGCACAGACAAAATAAATGAACACA